TCCGTGACACCATCTCTGTCTCTTGTCTAAGACAAAACCTTTTAGTCTTGACAGTCTTCTTCACTCCCATTCCCATAAATGGTATCGGCTTAGGAAATGAAGTTTCCCAGGGAACAAGGAATGACCACTGTTTATCCTGCACACAAAGGCACCTGGCTGTCTCACACTGGGTCCCAGGCTCTCCTCCCTATTTCTTACCTGGCTGACTCCTGCTCTTCTCTAGGACTCTTCCTCAGGCTGCTGGGGCCTTTATTCTGGTCTGAGGTCTCTATCCCGATTGTGATTCACCTCTGGAGGAGTGCACAGGTCAGGGAGTGAGGAGCTCTTCAGAATCCACTTTCCTGGGTCTCCAAGGTCTGCTTATCTGGAAACAGGACCCCTGCTCTGAAATTTCTTTCAGTTTCAATTTCCGGATTCAGCTCAGTCTGAGAAGCTCTGGGTGGGTGGTGAGGGGGAGTACTTGTAATTCTGGGCACTATGATTGGACAGGAAGAGTCATGGGATTGATTTTAAAAAGTGCCACCCTAGGGCCTGAACCCTACCCTTCTCTTGGGAGGGTGACATAGTACCCAACGGAAAATATTTCTATACCCAAAAGGCCAAACCCAAATTCTGTCTCACAGCATCCCCTATAGGACAGAATGAAAACAGATGCATTGGAAGGACAAAGGAGACTTCAATGTAAGACAGATTTAGAAAAATTAAAGATTCATTTTTTTATTGGGTTTGTGGGGTTTCTTATTTGTTTTTTTAAATTGTGAACTAAATGAAGGTTTACAAAGCAGATCATCAATTTTAAGTTCATATCCTTCATTTCATTGCAATCTCCTCCATGTACCAACAGTTAACAGCATTTGCCTTTATTCACCTGCACCCTTGGCATCCCTCCCTTTGTCTCCCTCTCCCTTCATCTTTCCTTCTTTTTTGCTGTTGATGTTATTATTTTTGTTTTGTTGTTTGGATTCTGCTCTATGAGTCCAAATCCTATGTGAACTGTTGTTGCATATCTTTTAATTTTGTGTCTAATGATTTTTGAAAAAAACATTTTAAAGCTTTTGTGGGCCCGATACTTAATTACTGTGAATGTTGGGGATACCCGAATGTGAATGCATTCATTATCATAACTATTTTTTTCTTCTTCTTTCCCAATTTTTTTTCAACTGCCTTCCCTGTCACACAAGTTAACACGTGTCAGTGGTTCAAACTCACCAGCTGATCCTAAGAAACCCTATATACATGTTCACTATCTTCCCCTAGTCAAGTTCTGATTATCCATCCATCAAGGACAGGTCAAATGAGTATTCTCTGCAAGTTTGGGTGTTCTTCTCTCTCTCATCTCCAGGTCAACAGGAGTCTGCCATGGTATTTTCAATGGACTCATATGCATGTGAAAGTTGGACAATGAGTAAGGGATACCAGAGATGTATTGAATAGATACATTTGAATTTTAGTGTTGGAGAAGAGTATTGAAAGTAGCATGGAGCATCAGATGAACAAATAAATCGGTCTTGGAAAAAGTACAGCCTGAATGCTCCTTAAAAGCAAAGATGGTGAGACTTTGTCTCTTGTTGTTTGGATATGATGTCAGGAGGTAACAGTCCCTGGAGAAGATCATGTTTGATAAATGGAGGGTCAGTGAAAAACAGGAAGACCCCTAACAAGATAGATGACACAGTGGCAGCAACACTGGACTCAAACATGAGGATGATGCAGAGCCGGGCGGTGTTTTGTTGTGCTATGAATCAGAACCGACTTGATGACACCTGACAACAGCAAGAAGTGATGTAACTTCTCTCCTTGAAAACTGGGAGCATGATATCTATCTTGGTTCCTCTGACATTGGAACTAGCCACCTACCAAACATTGGTTTAAAGGACGCTTAACTGTCTTTTTTGTTTATGTGTTTTGTTTTGGTTTTAACTCAACAGTTAAAACACCCCAAGCAGGCTCTCTCCTGGATAAACATTCATTTGGCAGCTGTAATTTTTGACTATCTTACCGAGTTCCGAGAAGGTTGGTTTGACAACTTTTTTTTATTTCCAACTTTTTATTGAGTGAAGTGATGTGAAGGCTTACAGAGCAGGGCAGATCATCAGGTTTACATTCAACAAACCGTACATTACGCTTCATTTCAATGATTGCAGTCCCCTTCATGCAACATCAGCTAGCCCACTTCCTCCCTGTGATTCCTGTCTCCATTCCATCCTCCTTCCCAACTTTGTCCTTAGTCAAGTGCTGCCCTTTGGATCTTGAGTTGTTGAGGATTCCATGGTGAGCAGATCTCACCAGTGTTGCTGTCCTCACTACAT